TGCTAGAGCCGAATGCTAGAGCCGAACTGACTGTTGCTAGAGCCGAACTGACTGCTGCTAGAGCCGAACTGACTGCTGCTAGAGCCAAACTGACTGCTGCTAGAGCCGAGCTGACTGCTGCTAGAGCCGAACTGACTGCTGCTAGAGCCGAACTGACTGCTGCTAGATAGAGCCGAACTGTCTGCTGCTAGAGCCGAACGGACTGCTGCTAGAGCCGAGCTGGCCGAGCTTACAGACGGACACCTCGTTGAACTGAGCAAATTTTGACAGGAATGACAGACCGTTTATATAAACGGCGCAGGACAAACCTCTAGAACTTTAGGACGTTTTTTTTTGGACGAAGTTGTTTGAGATTTTAACTTCTCACAATAGCCGGCGTTTCACAATGTTTAAGCATTCCAGAAAAAAATTTTAAATAAATTTTCATGAGTATATAAATTGGCCCCCGTTTGAGAAAAAGAGTGGAAAATTTTTGAATCCATAAGTGATGAGAATTTATTAGTCTTTGTGGACAGACAATAACAATGCTGGCCCCGAAAAATAGATGTATCAATAACACAAGCCTTCAAAACTCCCGCCACGTGAACGTGAGAGTCCACTATACCTCAAAATAAGCCTCCATAACTCCACCCACGTGAACGCGGCAGTCCACTGCACCTCAAACACAAGCTGCTATGACTCCCACCACTTGGACGTTACCCAAATTCTCAAACACCTACGAGAAATGTCTCAATGGCCACAACGACCGCCGTCAACTGTCCAAACCACAAGGAAAAAATACAAAATAAACAACAATCCCAACAAGAAACTATCAATCACAAAACCAAGCAAACATATCTCAACATAGCCAAACAAGTAATAAAGAAACAAACATTCCACAACACAACTTTACAATGACAGACAAGACGCAACTCAAACTGACCACATGCCCATATCGCCAGCCTCTCCCGAAATGAGGGGTTCGGCAGCATACTAACCAAATAATTGAAGACTAACTACGATATGGACGCGACTTTCCCGACAGAGACTCCGCCAACAAAATATTGAACTTTTTTATAACCAACCCGGAACCTAGACTCCTGACAAAGACATCAACCTTCAAATGGAATTTATTGACGATAACGACATGAGACGGTTCTCACTAAACTTGCCAGAGAGGCCAAGAGATCTCTCAGAACGTGCCTCCCGCTGACAACCAAAATCCAAAACGAAGAACACGATCCCAGAAAACGAAGAATTAGTGACGAACAGTGCGGAAGATCACCCATTTAACTGCCAGGACAAGACGAATTAATAGCTGTTAGACTATTTAGAAGCAGCAGAAACCCCAACCCAATAACTGCCGGTACTCAACAGCTGGTTCTTTAACGAACTGAGAAAGAACGAATTCGGACAGAAGCTATCAGTGAAAGACCTAGGCTCATCGAAAATTATCGACATTTGAGACGAGACGAATTTAAATTCTACAAGCCCACAGTCAACATCCAACCTAACAACGCCTTCGTTACCATGAGTAGATACACTACCATAAAAAACAACCACCGCCAAAAAGCTGAAACAATCCTTATTTAAACATCCAACCCCATCATGACCCCTCAATCAACACTAAATATACGGCCCATCAATACTGATACAATGTCCAACACTGGCATAATAAGAAATTTACATTTTCAAATATTTACAATGACATAGATCCTGGCATCATTCTTATTAACGATCACTCTATCACCTACAACAACACTTTATTAAAAAAATCAATAACAACGTCCATAGCTGCAACAGAGATAATACAGTTCACTCCGCGGTTCTGCCAAAGCAGTAAATGGCGGTATCCCACATAAACTGCACGACAACTTCCACACAACCAAGCTCGCAATCACAATAGAGAACCAAAAAGGACCCAGCACGATAGAAACTACATGCAGTCCACCCCGCATAGACTACACCAACATTGACTTCCACTCCCTTTTGTATAGGTCTCATCCCGTATACCTCCTTGCAGAAACACATGCAAAGCACACAACATTAAGAAAATAGTTCCTCCAACCACATAGGAAGACAAGTACACTCACTAATATGACAACGCAAATGTATCACATCGGCCCTTACTTTCTAACCTTCATCACCCACAACAGGACATCACCTGGCTGAGTACTATACAACAATAAAGCGTTCCACAACATACACATACAGCCCGGACCATCACAACATCAGACCACATTCCATAATAGCCACTATATCTGCAAATCTCATTCAAATACCCATTTGTCTTCCTAGATCCTTCCTTAGAGCAAATTGGACACAATACAAACAAAGTACCCACATAACCTGACCCTACACTAGAATAAATAGACAAAGCTGGACAAATAATATACATAAATAATAGACAAAATAATAAGACAAAATAATAGACAAGGGGACAATACACATACAGAACGCTACCGATACCTCAATCCCTACCATGACACACCGCATTATTCCCGGCACCGGACACACCCACCAAATATTACTCATTCACACAATACCAAGCCACTCTCCAATACATTCACACCCACGGTCCATCGCTAGAATTCAACAGACAAATCATCACCATGCGTCAATAACTACCCACAGCATATACAGACGCATCCAAACACAGACAAGGTAGAACCTCATTAGCATATAAGAAACACAAAAAGATCCCCAAAATTTTGGTCATCCCTAAAACGCATTTAAGGCTCCAACACCAAGCAAACTGTCCCGCACCTCAAACATAACATACAACATGACACAACCGAACAAAGAGAACCCATGTTCCGCAAAAACTGGCAAGATATATTCACTCATGATGACGCAGACAATGAAGACGTTGACATAGAACACATCCACACCACACAAGACCACGTCAGCAACAACATACACCTAATTCACTAATTCACCCATATAATCACAACGACCTCCCGCGGCACCATCCTGCGGACTTCCCACCTATTACCATTAGCTAGAGAATTACTACACACACTAAGAACATTCAAACAAAATTACTTGGTCCCACAGGCATCACAACACTCAAACACCTACACAGAAACATGATCCACTATCTAATATACATATTCAATCGTGCCATTCGTCGGTTGTTTCCCGGAGTCACTGAAACATGCCTTCATAATTTTCCACTCCAAACCCAACGCATTGCAACACCAAGTTCAAATTTACAGACCCATCTCACTACTAGACATCAACGGGAAGCTTTTAGACAAAATACTCAACAATAGATTATACAAACCCATATTAATTCACAACATGCGTAACACAAGTCAACACAATTTTAGGAAGCATAGAGGGACACACACAGCGCTAGCCACATTCCAGGAGACACTAGCCATACAGTTAGCAGGACATGACCTCACTGACATACTGATTCGCGATTTGACCAAAGCCTTTGAAATGCAAGGTTTGGCACACCTGACTCCAATAAGAGATCACTCAAGTCAACCTTTATGCATCATTCACTAAATCATTCTCAGTCTACCATACAGACAGAACAGTATCCATAATAAGAATAGGTAATCACATAGGTCCTCGGTAATAACTTCACACAGGTGCCCCCCAAGAGGGTTGTCTCACCCCCACACTAAACAGCTTCTACACCCACGACTTCCCACCATGATGCCCAGCACAGACTACATAGCTTATGCAGATGGCAAAACACAAATAACCACAGGGCATTACCCACACAACCATGCAGCAGTGCAAACACAATACGCCATCCAACATATCCACACCTTTTAAAATAAATGGCTCGTTAGGGAAAACTCGAATAAATTTAAAATCATCCCCATCATTAGGCGAAACACTTCCAACAGCTTCATAGACAACACCGACTATCCATATGCGAACATTGGAACAGTTTTAGGTTTACAATTCACAATACCCGGTTTCAGCTCTCAAATACCAAAAAGAAAAAGAATGTTGTTCACCAATCCGCACAAAATCCACTGATTTTACCACCTCCCACCCAACATAAAGCGCACGTTATACCTCTCGATCCTTTTTCAGATCATCCCTCATTTAACTCCCGATACCGATACACCCCAATCAAAATAATCCATATCCAAGCTGCAGACAGTACAAAACAATGCACTCCGATTTTTCACACTCACACTGGTCCGACTTCACATCCTATCAAATACTCCACGAACAATGCGACATTCCTACAATAAACACAGTCCGTCACCAACAAACACGCAAAACTGGTTCCACCCTTAAAACATATGATCCAAATTTTTCAATCAACAACTCGCATTACTCCCAAACGACAAATCAAGGCAGGACCGGTTATTCAAAAGCTTCAATTTACACGCACATGGTCCCCCACCTATACCTCTATACAAATAACAACACAAGGGACCATGCTCCACCCATATCTCCTCCACGGCAAATATCGCTTTTTGTATTTTCCGTCTCGACCATAATAGAGAATGATTTGTCAATATTAGAACACGAGTGATGGGATGAGAACAGATAATATAGGTGCAGTGTCCAAATAAATAATATGTGCTGTTGGAGAACAATACTGGTATTTATATGATTTAGCTTTATACGATCTTTCGATGGTGAACTTTCGAAGTTATTTTCACAAATTACTAAATATTAATTATTTTGCAAATTAGCAATCTGTCATTCAGCATTAGACTGAAATCAGTCGAACAAATATTTTCCGTAAACATTTATATGGAAAAACGTATTCGTCGCTGATTAAATTTGATAAATTTATTTATTGAAGTCGAGCCTCAAATGATACTGCATTACAATGACCGCTGCGAAGACAGGTCACTCCACTTTGGCTGTATTCTCGACCGTGCGGCGTTTCTAACCTTCATTATGATTGATCAGTTGCTTGCAATTTTGCGAGGGGCAGATTTGTACGAGGAATGGAAACACAAGTATTTTGATTACCTATAGCGGAAGTTTCCTCTCCTATCCGCGAAAAACGAAGAGTAACTTGATATCGAACTCACCGTAGCCATGATGCCGAGGGCAAAGACGCGGACTGGAAGCTTTTTCATGGCGGCAGATTCTAGTTCTGGGTTTATTGCAACGGGCAATACGATAACGATAATGATAATGGTTGCTGAAAATTTGTTGATTAGGATGTATATAGGATTGATATGTATACCATTAAGAAAAATATACATAATATTCACAAAATATATTACACATAGAAATATGTAATGTACTTCGCGAGCTTCAGTCGACTGCTTCCAGAAGCATGCACTTGATAAGCACTTCAGTAATAGTTAGCCTCAACTTTTTACGAACAAATTTTTTACCGAACAATTTTATTGAGCATTACAACTCAACCATTCAATTTAATCCATACTTTCTTCCTACGAGTTTATAAGATTAGAAGCAGCAAATTTAAAAAATTATAATGTTCTCTCGATAACAAAACTGCTGGAGGTAATTCTGACCTTCTATCCGCCCTTTATGCTCAGCCGCCCTTAAGGGTACTCATAATTTGCTCTCAACGCCAGCTTCCAGATATTGTTTTCCATTTTAAATATGGTGGAAAGCCTTGCAGGAAAGACAACTAATTAATTTTGTTATCTAAACTTATTGTAATCCCAATTTCTTTGAAATTTTAATAACCGATATATTTTATTTATTAATAATTTCGTATTGTACTTCTGCATAATTAAACTTTTATTACCTTCTCGTAATATTTAGAGTGACACATAAATGTACAGTATATTTTGGTTTCGTAACGATTATTATTACAACACTTCTCTTTAACTTCACTTCTTGTTGTTTGTTTGTATGTTTGTCTGCTACAAATCTTATAAGCGATATTTAACACATTTATACTTTGCCAATCGTTCTGAATTTTTGCACACTTGCCTAAAGTCAACGGATCAATTGACAGAATGAATAATTTTACAAATAATTTTTTTATATTAAAAAATTTAGAAAACAAATTTTTTAATATTCAAAAATAAAATCGGAAATTCATTGTACATGTGTAACATCAAAGACACTAGACTCTTTAGAAGTGTTGTCTTTAAAAAGTAATTTTTAAACGTATTTCTTCGAACGTGTATATTTCTTTGAACGTGATAATTCATTTCAAAAATATGAAGATTTTATATATCATATTTATTTTCTAATTTTAAACGGCGCAAAAATTTCAAAAGAAAACAAAATAGACTAAAATAGAAAACCAGGAAATATGTCAACTCGTTTATTTCTGGTCATTGACTGAGTAGTCGAAGTATGAATGCAGAGATGAATAATAATTTATGGCAGCCAATCAACCTAGGTGATAAAAATTTAGACACAGAAAATAAGTTTGATGAATCTTGTCTCTGGAGAGCCGCAGCTTCATAGTCACTCCCCACGAGGGACGGTATACGCGGGGCCGGTAAGGGATTCGGTCGCTCCTGAGCACTTCCACGCGGTGCGACCGGTCGCACAGAGCGAGTAAGTAAGACTAGCATCAGGAAGAGCACTCGCTCACGTAGCTTAATCGACACAAGTGTTTGTCGCGTTTCTAGTGTTGTTGCCCTGAATAAAATAACCTCGAAACTTACAAGTGTTCAAGGTCTTGGTTCCAGCGTTCTCTTTGTTCGAGTCAGAAACGAGCACTCGCGCACGTACACAAATGAAACAAGTGTTTGTGTTTATATCGTTAACATGAATAGAATAACCTCGAAACTTACAAATGTTCAAGTGCATTCTTTGTTCCAGAGCATTCTTTGTTCAAGCGCACTTTTCGTTCAAGAGCACTCTTTGTTCCAGCACATGTTCCGGAAGAAGAAGAATAAGTAACACTAGTTCCATCGCACTTTCCAAGTGACCTTTGTTCATTGGTTACTTCTTGTGATGCGATGACGAAAGTTTTGTTGTTACGTTCGAAGCTATACCAGCATGGAATGAATGTGAGCTTGCAAGTAGGCGAAAAAAAACTCCTTCATAAGTTGGAAAATTGTTAATTGCATTTTTATCCGCGTGTCTATGTGAAGAATTTGTAAACGTATTTGTAATTGATTTGTTAAAAATGTGAAAATTATGAGCATCGCCAGGTAATGGACTGCATAAAGTTCAACATTGAAGCAGAGGTTTCTTTATTCACAGGACCGAATCGCTAAAATGGCTTACGCTCATATGAACGAGAAGCGTTACGCCCCATCTCCAACCCCTTTATAAATAAATACACAGCTGAAATAAATACACAGCTGACCATGTTGCACTCGGACGCTAGTTGTTCCCATCCCGTTTGGGTGTAGCTGGTCCCAAAATAACACACCACATCCAATACACCATCATGCTGACGGACTGACTCGATTCACCGAGAATGGCATACAGCAGAAACGAGACCGAAAACCCAGTACGAAATAAACTCTTAGCCCCACCTCCCTCCGAGTCTCGAGCACTCACCCACCCACCGCCATATAAATCATCACTGTTCATAAACATCATCACCCCGTTATCATCATATAATATGAGAAAATAAAAAAAAATTATTAAAAAGCGAAAGCGCATGTAAATAGTAAGTGCACGAATCACTTTTTTTACTGTGCTAAAAACATTAAATAATGTGAATAGAGAACTACAATCCTCTCATCGTCCCCCCGCTAGAACCATCCAAAATCCTGACGGATTACCAACCCCCTTCCCCCAACCCCAAACAAACCCCACTGTTTTATGAACCACCCAATCATGCATAATGCGCCTTTTTCATCTCTTACTGTCTTTTCCATTTCTCCTTACTCTTTCTGGGCACTCTGTGCCGCCTCTTGTTCTCTTCCACACTCTCCTAGAGGCTCTACAACATTGCAACAAAATGGCAGGCGAGGTTAACTGGGAGCTCTTCATTTAACATCTCACTCAGATAAATTAGTGTCACTTTATTCAAATAGCGATGCACCTTTTGTCTTGAATGGGCTCTCCTGACAAAGTCCATTCCGATCGTGGACCTATTGGTCAAGATAAACTTATATGACCCTACGATTCTCCTAACCTTGTATCACCTTATCGGTGCTAAGTTCGTTCTTTGCTCGTGCTGTGTACAAATAATATGCGGTTAAAAATTACTTTTAAAAGACAACACTTCTATTGAGGCCGGTGCCTCAGACGTTACAAATGTATAATGAACTTCTGATTTTATTTTCATATAATAAACAAAATTATTTTTCATTTTTTTTGTTTAATATTTTATTATTAAAAAAATGATTTTTAAAATTATTTAAACTGTCAATTAATTCAAGCACTGCCTCTGACTTTACACAAGTGTGCAAAATTTCAGATCGATTGGATAGGTAGAAGTGTGTTAAATATCTATTATAAGATTTGTAGCAGAAAAAGAAACAAATAAAGAAACAACAAGGAGTGAAGTTAAAGAGAAGTGTAGTAATAAAACGGGTCATTATTCGGACAGTGACATATTTATTGCTCAGAGGTTTGGAGAATTAAGAGAATTTTTGGTAAATACTTTGCACAGGAAAATTTGTCACTTCCGAAAATATTAAATATTTTTATATATACTCTGTCATATCAATCATAATCACCAGAAACTTAGAAGCAAAGAAAACTCCACAAAAATTTACACTATCTTGAGAGAAAACGTTTGAGTCCGCACTCAACACTAATAGGTTGAGTGCGGTACGATTTTCGGTGGGTTGCACGGCCTTTTTTACGCGATTTATTTTTTATCAATTTCGTTGGCCGGCAGAAATTTATAATAGAGGTAGTTTTTTAAATTAATTTTGAAAATATGAGTAAAAGGAAAATTTAATTTTTGCACTTGAGCCTACCAATTTACTAGCAAATATCGAATTGTAGACTCTTTTGTCGGCGGACTTGGCTGTTTCAGGCCATTTAGCAACCCTGGTGAGTCGTACCGCGCTCAACCTGTTAATTTCAATCATCAGACGCAGTTTCAGAGTGTGCTGTGCTTACAAAGAACCGGAAGAAGGAAATAGAATTGTGACCAACTGACCCTGAAACGAACTGCGCAGCTGTGCCAGAGACTAAACACTTGTGAACAAATCAAACAAAGAGCTTTCCAAACTGTGGGAAATACAAGCTGTGTGGTCAACTCATGTTTCAGAACAAAGACACACGGTGAATAACGAATCTCAAACTTTAGATATTGGATACTTTACTAATATTTTTAAATCCACAACACAATCATAAAATTTGACGACTAAATTTTTCTCATCCTAATTTCTTATTACAGCAAAATTTTGAGATCAGATTGCTACAATATGAGAGTAAATGTTTAAAAAACTTTCTAGCATAAAATTCATGCATCACCTTCGAACATCCGCACTGAGCTTCCTCGTACGCTCACCCAACAGGCAGCCAGAGACTAGGAATGTTAACAAATTAGGTTAAGTCATACTGCAGTTATTCTCATAATTATTAAAGGCAATTACTGTTCTCAGAAGACAAGTATATCACAGATAATTAATAGTAGCAATTCCAGCCCAAATTCAATTGTTCTGTAGGCTAAACTTCTTGAGGCAAAACTAAGCAAACTAGTATAGCTTCTAAAATGTCAAACACTTCCAGTGAAATCATTGTAATTGAGGGACTTATTGTTAGGGTAAACTCGGCCTATCTGATGTTCTGTACACAAATTGAATTATATACTGGCAGCACCTGATTTTCTGTATAATTTTGAATGGCTGATGATTTTCAATATGAATGTAGTTAGGTGTACATATTATACCATTGGATTTGGACTGGTGGAGTCAAGGTTGAAATTAACAGTAGCAAATATCAACTGATCCAGACGACATGAAAATCATCCTTTCAAAACTGGCTGATACTGATAGTTTCGGATCAACAAAATTGTTCATCAGTATGTAATCGAAAAGTCGCAATGTTTAGATTGACATTGTAAGTTCATCAAAGCACTGCTTGAAGGCAGCTGCGCCCCGTTACTATAGAGAGCTGTAAAGCCTTGTGGACATGAGGTTCACACGGCAAAAATAATTTCACATTAGCTCCATTTTTTGTTGACAAGCTAAACGAAATACGAAACGAGTTCGTATTTCAAAATACG